TTTTGTTTTTTTTTGTTTGTCCCCCCCCCCCAAAAACAACCCCCCCCCCCCCCCCCCACACACACACACACACACACACACACCTTCCCTCCCTTGAAATGAAATATTATTGTGAGTCTGATAGCATATCTGTACAAACAACTGGCTTTAGCATGGTATGACCTGATTTTCAAAACAGCCGTTTTATTGTTCCAAATCTCAAAACAATTTCCAAGTTCAGTTTAAGTCGATCAGTAACATTTAGTCAAGGCTACTCAGTCTGAAAGGGGGAAAAAGTGCAAATGATTCACTGGGATTTTTTAAGACTTATCACAGTAAAACCTTGTAAAGCCGTAAACACCGATTGCTAGTTAGCTTCAGCTTATTGTTTGTCACAAGGTATGTAGCTTAACAGTAGTTGTGCAAAAATTGCAGCAATGTTGCTTATATTTCAGCTTGGCAGAATAGATAATAGATTTTTATTTTTGTATTATTTTGCTTTGTTTTGGGGTTTTTTTAATCAAAGTGCCAGAAATGGGCTTCTATATGCAAAATAAATCTTTGTGCTTCAGCGATATGTTTAAGTTAACCTAAAAAAAGGAAAATAAATGAATAAATAAATAAAACATTGGATTAAAAGTGTCGTTTGATCAATTTGAAAATCTGTTCTTTAAAGAAGCCAAATTTTGTTACGTCTGAATCTCCGTCGTTGCTTCAGAGAACAACATTTTCCCAAAAGTAAATGATGGCTAAGAACTGCAATACAAAGAGCCACATTTCAATAAGTCGAAACTACCTTTTTAAATAGTAAACTCAAATCGAATTTCATTACCACAGATAATGAGATTTTCAAGAGATACTTGGATAAAAACTTATCCCGGGTCCCTGTAAGAAGCAATTTCCCCAGAACTCAGCTCTGTTCATTAGCTGACATGTTCAACCACCAATAAGAGCTGAGGGGCTGTGAGGTGATGGGAATAGAGACGAATGTCTCAATATGAAGGAGACTCGGCTCGCTCAAGTGGCAGGTACTGCTTCACCCTCCATCCTTCAATTCCTTATCCCAGTCCTCAGCGCTCCGAATAGCCACCTTTTCCCTGAGGGAGCGCCCAGTGCTGCTTCCTTGTGCTAATTACCCATGGGTCCAGAAATGCTCCAGCTGTTTGGAGATGTGGGAATGTCGTACAGGCAGGGTGTGCACCTGAAGCAGACTGAGGAGTCTGGGTAGGAAAACCAGCCTGATTAAAAGTTTTACTCGGTTTTCCAGGGCAAAGGGAGGAGAACTCAGAAGTTGATGGGATCCCCCAACAAAAGTAAATACTTTAAATTTGTTTGAAATCTTATTCTCAGCAGACCATCATTAACCTCGTGCCTTGCCTTACATACAGTTGTCAGACAAGACCTCCCAGAAGGCCGTGCAGAGCACATGTCAAAGACGGATCCATTGATCATTCTGACTTGACTGTTTGCTGAGCAGATTGAACGATTGGCAGTTTGACAGTTGACACGCTGACATTGATTGACCAGCACTTAACGAACGGAGACCTTTGACAAACACGCAGCTTAAATTGCTTACAAATGGATTGATGCATTGATTGGGCTTGTCATGGGTTTTTCTTTTTTTTTTTTTTTCTCAAATGGCTTTTGAACTCACCGTCTCGTCCACGCCGATCCGGCATCGTCTTAGCTGGGCCAGACGAGACGTAGAGAAAGCCGTCCATGAAGACGGACACGTCAGACAGCAAAGCGTTCTCTGACCACTGGTCCAGCCTTGGGAAATCTACAAGGAGACAAATTTGCTTAATTTATTTGTGGATAAACGTAATAGAAAGTTTTGTGAAGAAGACAAAAAAAAAAAAGTAAATTTGCATATCAAAAATCTATCTTAATAATAAATGAAACAATCTCTGTTGGCATTACAACAGTCAGATTCTTCTTGTAATGGCTGACGAGCGCATTGCATTTTTCCATTTTTGTTTCTGACCAGTTTAGTGATAAGTTCCAGGTTTTTTATTTTATTTTCTTTAATCGAAAGCCTATTTGCTCCCTCTTCAGATTTTACACCAGATTCAATTTGAGACTCTCCAAAACAACGTTAACAATTACTTGAAACAGAAGAAATATGTCAGTAGAAATCTGCTAAAGGTTGACATTTTCAAATCTGTGACATGTGGTGTTGGTCACTTGAGGTTAGCTTCAAATTTAGAAAAGACACTGGGCGGCACATGGAGACGTGGCAGAGCAGTCACCCCCGTATACTGAGGTTTTTGGTCCTCGATGTAAATCCTGACACTGGGAACCTTTGCTGTATTTCTCCCCGCTTTGTCTCTGCCCGTTTTTGTCTAATATGGATTAATCGTAGAACAGCACTTCTCTAAATTGTCTGTTTTATACACGTTATGTACTCAAACAAAATTAATGTCCTTCAACAGAAAAAAAAAAAGCAGTATTTTGCAGACTCGCCTTGTTATGTTTGCCCACTCCTGACTTACCCTGAAGCAAAACAACATATCCCCACCAGATTCCTGATTACTGTTCTTGAACCAAAGCTCTGACCTCCATGTGGAGACTTTTTCTTTTTTTCCCCCCACTGGGTCTCAGAAAAACCACAGCGCTGTCTTTTTAATCACAAGAAGCATAAAGGTGATCATACAAGGTTCTGTTTAATTTAGTCATGACTTTGTCACACGGTCCTACTTTTGCAAAGGCAAGGATAGGGTGTTCAGAGAGCATTTCTCCACGCACTCAATCTGTTAAAAATGACTTTTACTCTCATCTGTGTCCATCACAGAGAAAGAAGCATTCCGATCTTGCCCTCCTTCATCCGAACTCCCTCCACTCATCCTTTTCTCGCTAGTTTTAAGAGCTCCCCACGTTCAGCCTTATCATTCTCAAATTCAATTAGCTTTCATTCCGAGGTCCAATTTTCTGCCCGAGCCTTGGTAATATCTTACAGATTTTATCTTGAGCACCTCCAGCTCTCTCATCAGGCAAGGTAAAATAACTTTAATTGAAACCAGTTTTGATTGAATCGACATTTCCCCCCACAGCCCCCTCCGACGACACCGCCGACGCCTCGTTTCATGCCCACACATCATTCAGTGGAGAAAAACAATCTGTCCGTTTACCGAGACGCCGTCGTCTTTGTTCTGTACGTGGATTCATTATGTCAAATTAATTAACAGCCATCATATGAACGAACTTGCAGCAAAGCGCTTCTTAATATATGACTAAAAAAAGGATGGATCGTTTGGGGAGCACCTAATGGGAACGTATTTTGCCTTCAATCTGATCACTTACTTTTATATCATTATAACTAACTTAAGCATTTAAGAATTAAGGAATAACTTAAGAAAGCAGAATTTAGATTCAGAACAATGTCCACCAATCACAGTCGCGACTTCTTGCGCCATCCTATATAAAAGTGCAAAAGAGATTGTTTTAATGGTGCCACAGCAAGAAATGAGAAATGATTCATCAGATCAAGTGTAGCCTTGGACGTTATTGTGTTAGATCTGATGGAAGCTTCAATTCCGAAAGTCAAACTAGGTAAATATACTTTCACAGACCAGTTTTTTTGTTGTTGTTTTTTGTCATAAATAGTAAATCTATCTATTACGTGGAAAGAGTCACCAAAACTGCACAAGAACATGTTTGTGTGGTTTAATGAGTCGATTTCAGACGCAGCATTCAGATGGCCGTGTCAGGATTTTCAGGAAATAACTGGAAAACGTAGATCTATCCTCTTGTGTATCCGCGGATCAGGATGACGGTGCAATAGAGTCAGGGATATTCTATCGGCACACTTTGGGCTCTTTGGTACCAGTTGAGAATCGTTTAAACACCGCAGCCTTCCCGGCATTGTTGATGACCAAGCTAAGTCCCTTTATGACCAGAGTACACACCCATCTACTGCCGGCAACTTCCAGAAGGATAATGCACCACATTACAAAGCTGACATCATCGCAAACTAATTTGTTGACGTTGATTATGAGTTTATTGGACACCGATGGCCTCCGCTGCCACCAGATCTCAGTCCATTAGAGGACTTTTGAGGATTGACAGAAAGGGAGATTTGCATTATGGATGTGCAGATGAAAATCCAGCAACTGTGCGATGCCATCGTGTCAGTGTGGAGCAAAATCGCTGAAGAGCGTTTCTGACAACTATTCGACCAAGTCTTGGGGACAATCAGAGTGTTTGAGACGATGTAAACTCTTCCCATGGACGCCATTTTGGCCCAGTCTCTTTCTTATTGTGGAATCACAAACACTAAAGTATGACTAAGTGGAAGTGAGGCCCACAGCACCTTGGATGTTGTTCTAGGTAATTTTGTGACCTCTTGGAAGACTTTCTGAAATTTCTTTCTGAGCAATTTCAAAGTCAAGTCCACTTCTGGAACCGTTCAGTTATGTTCTATGTTTTCTCCATTTGTAAATAATGACTATCATTGTGGTTCACTGACATTCAAAAGCCTTTATCAACATTTCCAGACGACAAATTCAATCACTATTTTTCATTAGTTAAATTTATTTAGATTATGGCCATGATGTTTTCCTTTTTAAGAGGGCTTAGCCTACTTCATGTTGTCAGACAGGTTCAAATTAGGAGGCATTTTCATTTTACAGCTCAGGCAGTAAACAGAGATGGTAGCAGCTAGTGAATCTGAACAAAAACAAACATGGTTAATCACGTTTAACGTTTAATTTAATCAGTTTAGCAATTAGATTCATGTAAAAGCCAAGATTGGCTTGTATAACTTTTTTTTTTTTTGCATTATAAATTAAATCATTTATGCTCTGGTTTCAATTATTAAAGCAACTAAGCATTTACTCAAGCTATCCTTGTGCGCCATTTTTTAATTCTGAAACAAGCGTAAAAAAAACAACAGAACACCACAAGAACTAGGCGACACTTTTCTCAGCACTGTAGAATTAGATGCCAGCTTGTAAGAATAAAACAGCAACAAAGTGAGTGTAATACACACACACGCACGCACACGCACACGCACACACACACGCACACACACACACACGCACACACGCAAACTGAAGTGTTTCCAAGCACTCAGGTTGACAGGATGTAAATAAGCCAGTGGCTTGATGCTGTATCAGTTGTAACAAGCCTCTCTGTGTGAGCATGCTTAACAACCCCTCTGGGCCCCTGAAGCTGGACTCTGTTAGGATGGGACTGCGCTGCTGTCTGCGGGGGCAGCAGCGGAGGAGTCTGGCCCGTGCTGATTGGCTCACTCCCCTGTGAAGGGAGGTGACATGACAGAGTGCTCAATTAGCCATCTGCTTGCCCACGGCTGCAGTTACAAAGCGAGCTTCGACGGGCAGTGGACAGCGGGGGTAATCAGAGGAGCTTGTTCGCACTTGTGCATTTACACCCAGACATGCAGTAAACGACGGCACAAACAGACGACGCGTGCAGGAGGGGGCAGAGATAATGCATGGCAGGGGCAGAAGATGAGTGAAAACAGCAATTTGTGCACAAGGTGGCAAGGAAAGGGGTCTAGGTGTTGAGCTTTTCAGCCTGTCGACATATTAACATTCAATTATTAGATTAAAAGCAGTGTTTAGTTGGAAAAAAAAAAAAAAAGGTTTTCCAAAGTGACCACTACCTCCTGACCCTTTCACTGCTTTTTGGTCATTTACTGTATTTAACACCTAAAGGCAGGTAGAAAATAATTGTGCAGAAGAAAAAAAAAAAAAAAAAAAAAAAAAAAGGAGTTTGTTTTTTAAAAGTTTATTTTGCTTTCCATTTTAGAAAAAGGT